AATTAGAGGGTGCCTTGGGCCGGCCTGACACGGAGCGAGGGACCTTAAGGAGCACACGGCCCTCCGCGAGGACCCCGCCGTGACAGGCAGTTATCTATTTGAGCTTCCACATGCTTGTCCCACAATCAGTAAATGAAATCATTACAAATCCACTCTGTCTTACTTTAGTGATCTTGCTCTGTTGCAACCAGAATTAGGCATTGTGCAATCCTCTTGCAATTAATTCTCTTCTCCCCTTTTTAGTGCTCCCATAGCATTCCTTGGACACACTATAGTAGATTTCATTATACAAGAAATCTATGTACTGACTTTGATGCCCTTATGTTTGTGGTGTCAAGTGTTTATTTCTTAGGTTTGTTTTTCTGCACCCTATAATACCATTCAAAAGACCAGCGTTAGTCACAGTTCAGTCTTTAGTGGGGAAAATTTCTTTGAACTTGCTTCCTTCATTTTGGAATAAAATGTGCATACTGTATTTGATAGTGTTATAGAGTACTTCTGATTGCAATGGCAATCAGTCTTTTGTCCCCATGGGCCAGCTGAGTGGAGTGGGGCCAATCCATGAGCTGAATTGGACTCCATGCTGCCCCCACACTCTGGAATCAGGCTCCAGGGCCTTGTGCTGACTCTGCCTATCAGGATTGGGTGTCCCACTGCATCTGCCCAGCCCTGCATGCCAGGACTGGACTCCTGATCTAGTGCTCTGGACTGTGGGGAGCCCTGTGATCTGAATTACACAGCACTAGGGGCCAGATGTGGCCTTCAGGCTGATGGTTGAGCACCCCCCTTACTGAGTATCATTTCCAGATGCTTACCATGGCTAGCATGACCAGATTCTGTTCTACCTAAATAGACTTTGGTGCTGAAGTACAGTTCTTTTATCTCATCTTGTTTGGGTTCTGAAAGTCCATTATGCATTTGCTTTGGTAACACACTGTCATTTTATCCTTAAGAATCACAGAAAGCAGCATGGAGGGGGACCCAGTATGGTGGGATAGAATTCCACTCTAGTCATGTAATCCCCTTACATATCTAACAGGTGGAATAGAATCTGGTTCTTAGTGTGCTATCCAGAGTCAAAAGAGAAAATTGCACTTCAGCCCAAGTATGTAGGATCATGCAATGGAAGTTTACCTCCTGTGTTGCATCCTGATTCTGCTCTGCCTCCATAAAAGCAAAGCTCAATGAGAAGCTAACGTGTAACTTGTTCCTACATTCCCAAAGCTTTCTGGAGAAGCCTAATGCTGGTAAGAATATCATACACCCCCACAAAGATTTGTCTGGGATTTCAGTCTTTTATTTATTATGTTTAGAAAACAGCATCTCAGAGCACAGTATCAGAACAGCTGCTGCTGAGGTTCAGTCTTTTCTCCAGTGTGGCACTCATCACATTAAAACGTTTGTTCCTAAACTTGGAGAGCTTGAGCAGGAGGACAAACTACAGAACACTGAAGAAGCAGAGTGCCTTTTCTTTTTTTACATTTATATCTCATTAAAACATGAAAATAATACTACTATTTGGTTTATTAGGTTGTTTCTTCAGAGCATCTAATGATGGAAGTTACAGTATATGCTTAAAGTCTAGTTCTATGAGTTGAGGAGTTACCTGAGTCCTTAGCTATAGTTGGTGTCTGTCCTGTGCAACTCAAGAAGGACGGTTCTAGATTAGCAGCATGCTTCAATGGTTTCTTGCAGGTGTGTGTTCATACCAGCTGCCAAAAACTTTAAAGGGACAATTCAGCAATTGAAACCAACAAAGTGAAAAGAATCCTTGGCTTTTACACCTTTCCTCAGCCATGTTCCTACTGCAGCCTCCCTGACATACCTTAAAGTTGGCATATGATCTGCCCTGCTGGCCACATTCTGTGTCCGACTCTGCCTCTCCGAGGATCGTCACCTTGTCATTATAGAGAGGCTTGCACGCTCCAATGACTCTGAGAGCGATGCCATCTGGAGCTTACGCTTCTGATAGGGCCACCCAGAGCGGCAAGGTCAAGGGGGAGGTTCCATAGAAAGAATGATCCGGGCAGTCTTTAGTGGCAGAGCAGGTGGAGGAAGGCTGCGGCCCCAACGGTTGCGAAGGCAAAAGAAGGCTGCAATGGAGAAGTGGCCCCAGTCGTCATGGTTCACCATGCCACTGAACCCGGCCAACAACTGCCAAGACCGTGTGGGCCCGACTGCATACTGGAGTCCCTGTGCTAAACATGCCACGTGCAGGCTTCCGGCCGATCCAAAAGCCGTGTGGCGATGGAGGATTGGCAACAGGGGCAGGGCTGTAATACCTGGAGACCCCCAGCCAAGAATCTGCACACAGGTGGCGGATGCATGATGGTCATCAGGCACCTGTGCCGGGATAGGGCTGTCCTTCAGCAGCTGCATCCATGATTGAGCAGTCCTTTTTAGGATACTCTTTGCTTACCCCAATGGGGAGGGGGCTATAAAAGGTGCTCCAAACTTAGGTTGTCCCCTCTCTCTTGGCTGGGAAACTGCACCCAGCAGGATCACCATTCCTGCGGTTGAAATAAGAAAAAGCTAAACTTCAGAACCTGGAATGTGAGAGCGCTCATCTACAACCCAAAGAGTGATCGCCCAGAAAGACAAACTGCCAAAGTGGCTCAGGACCTAGTGAGGCACAACATGGATACTGCTGCTCTCCGTGAAACCCGGCTCACTGGGGAGGGACAGCTGAAGAAGGTCAGTGGAGGGTACACCTTCTGGAATGGGAAACCAGACTATGACCCCTGTATCCACGGAGTTGGTTTTGCTATCAGGAATAAAATCATTGACATGTTCCCCGAACTCCCTTCAGGTGTAAATGAAAGGCTGATGACCCTTCCCCTGCACCTCAGCCAAAACCAACGTGCAACTGAAGTCTGCTGCCCAAGATGCCTGTGCCCAGACTATTGGGTTTGCATCATGATGGAACCAGGACTGGTTTAGGTTAGAAATCAGAAGGCAATATTTTACAGTTAGGGTGGCCAAAATCTGGAACCAACTTCTCAGGGAGGTGGTCCTTGCCCCTACCTTGGGTATACTCAAGAGGAGGTTGAACAATCACCTGCCTGGGGTCTTGTGAACCCAGCATTCATTCCTGCCTGTGGCAGGGGGTCAGGCTAGATGATCTGTTCAGGTCCTTCCTGACTCTAGCTACTATGATAATGAGCCAGATTTAGGGGGTGCAGGCTTTTTTCCTTCAAAATACCATTTTTGTAGATCTTTTCATAGGGGTGAGGGAGGCTCCCAAAATGATGCATGAGGGACAGTCATTAAACACAAGTCCTACCCCGGTGAGCAATCACTAATTAAAAATTTGATCTGTTTGACATGTGATTTTTGTAGATATGTGTATCTTGCTCACAAGTTTTAGAACAGGGGTTTTCAACCTTTTTTGATCATTGTACCCCCTGGTGGCTGGATGCAGAGCAGTGTACCCCCAGTTGCCAAGTGGGGGGGGTGGGGCAGGTGGGAATGACATGTGGCTGGATGCGGAGAGGGGTGGGTGGGGATGGTGCACAGCTGGACACGGAGCAGGCGGCACCTGCACGACAGTGCATGGTGGTGCTCTATCCCCACCCACCTGCACTTACCCCCTAGGGCCTTCCAAAGTACCTCCAGGGTACGTGTACCCCCAGTTGACAACCCTGGGTTTCGGATGTTGATTACAAGTTTGAAATTTAATCTATCTGCCTGTTCTTTCTTGATGTATGTGAGTGGTGTTGGGGATGGCGGGGAGGAGGGGAGGTGATTTTGTATAAGGTCTAAAGCTCAGCTGCTGCTTTGGGTGCTAAAATGCTATATGCACAAATTCCACTGCACACTCCTGGGATATCTGACTTTTAGGGTGTAGGGCACACCATTGCTAGATTATCAGATGTACCTCTAATCTGTTGGGTACTGCAGAGGGATGGCTCCAAAGGAACCATCTGAACATACTGTGGCTTAAGTTTACTAAAAGAGCCTCTCAGCTATGTTTAAAGTTTGAGATCGCTTTAGTCTCAAGAGACCAGTACTCAACCTACTAAAGCTGACACATGGTAGAGCTCCAGTGACTGCAGAGGCTAGACAGTAGGGGAAATAACACAGGGGTTGCCTACATCAGACGTGTGGACATTTGCTTATGCTGGTGGGATATTTAAGTAGGAAAATTCACTGGTATTAGGCCTTCCATACCAGTACTGGTTTTTAGAGTTATATTTATCTAGATTTTCACTCTCTAATGAAAAATTATAAGACAAGGTTTTATTTTTGCAGTTAAAAATAATTTTCCATTATATGGCTAAGAGCCTACATGCAGAATAACGGTCTCAGAGTAAAATTTCATAGACACTAGGACTGGAAGGGACCTCAGAAGATCATTGAGTCCAGCCCCCTGCCCCAGGGGCAGGAAGTCAGCAAGGGTCATAGGATCCCAGCAAGATAAACATCCAAATTTCTCTTGAAGGTGTTCAAAGCAGGTGCTTGAACTACCTCCGGTGGCAGTCTATTCCAGATCTCGGGGACTCAGACTGTAAAGAAGTTCTTCCTTATGTCCAGCCCCCAGATCCTGGTGAGCATCCCTGATAAACTTATAGGCAACCACCAGATCACCCCTGAGCCTACGCTTTTCCAGGCTGAAGAGTCCCATGGCTCTCAGCCTCTCTTCATAAGGTCTGCTTTCCTGACCTCTGATCATGCGTGTGACTCTTCTCTGGACTCTCTCACATTCTTTTTGAATTGTGGAGCCCAAAACGGGATGCAGTACTTCAGCTGTGGCCTTACCAAGGCCCGAGTACAACGGGAGAATGACATCCTGGGATTTGCTTGAGAAGCATCTATGGATGCAAGCAGTGTTTTGGTCGCTTTACTAGCCACAGCATCACATTGAAGGCTCATGTTCATCTTGTGGACAACTGTGACCCCCAAGTTCCTTTCGTCCACAGTGCTAGCCAACATAGCACTGCCAAGCCTATAAGCATGCTGCGGGTTTTTCTTCCCAAGGTGGAGAACCTTGCATTTTTTGGTGTTAGACACCATTAGGTTTTTGTCCGCCCACTTTCTAAGCCTGTCAAAGTCAGCCTGGATCACCCTCCTATCCTCAGGTGTGGATGCTTTACCCCAAATTTTGGTGTCGTCAGCGAACTTGGCCAGTCTGCTTCTGATAACGAAGTCCACATCATTAATGAAGATGTTTAATAGTGTTGGCTCAAGGACAGAGCCTTGAGGGACCCCACTGGTCACAGGGCACCATGACGATTGACTTCCGTCAACCACCACCCTCTGGGTCCAACCACAGAGCCAATTCCTCAGCCAGTGGATCGTGGTGAAGCCTGAGCCACAGTTGGCCAGTTTTGCTAAGAGGTGATCATGGGATACCAGATGGAAGGCTTTTTTGAAGTCAAGATATATGACATCAATCTCTTCTCCCTTGTCCAGGTGATAGATCACCTGGTCGTAAAAGGAAATAAGATTGGTCAAGCAAGACCTACCCACAACAAGCCCGTGCTGGCTATCCCTCAGGATGCTGCCATCGGCCAGTCTGTTAAGAATGGCTTCTTTGCTAATCTTTTCTAAGACCTTCCCCAGGATAGAGGTCAGGCTGATGGGCCTGTAGTTTGCTGGATCCACTTTCCTCCCTTTCTTGAAGATAGGCACCACAATGGCCTTCTTCCAGTCTTCGGGCACTTCACCAGAGCACCAGGAGCTCTCGAAGAACTGTGCCAGGGGCTGAGCTATGATGCTTGCCAGCTCCTTGAGTACCCTGGGGTGTAAATTGTCAGGGCTGGCTGACTTGAAGGTGTCCAGCCTCTCAAGGTGTTCCTTCACAAGGTCAGCATAGACGGAGGGCAAGGAATCACCCTCACCCAGGTGTTCCTGTCTTGTATGGGCATCGGTTGTCAGTTGTCCCATCTTGTTTAGCAGGGGTCCTTGCTTTTCCTCTGACTCCCTACATATCTAAAAAAGGACTTTTTATTGTCCTTGATACTTGTAACTAGTTGGAGTTCAGTTGCAGCCTTGGCTTTTCTGGTTTGCTCCCTGCAGGTCCAGACGAGTGCAGAATATTCCACCTTGGAGCTGGATCCAGTCCTCCGTCCTTTGTAGCTCTTTCTTTTTAGATGCAGGAGGTCCGCTAGTTCCCTACAGAGCCAATAGGTCTGCTGTGCCCTTTTGCTGTCTTTCCTCCGAGACAGGATAGACTTAGCTTGTGCATCCAGGATCGCTCCCTTGAGGAGCAATGACTCTTCCTGAACTCCCCTCCCCTTTGTGTCGTGGTCTCTTAGGGCCTCACTGACAAGCTTCCTGAGCTTGTCAAAGTCAGCTCTCCTGAAGTTGAGGACTTCTGTATTGCTGACTGACTTGCCAGCTTTATGGCGGATGGTGAAGGTGATCAGCTCGTGGACACTGTCACCCAGCTTCCCTTTGATCATTAGGTCACTGATTAGGTCATCCCCTGTAGCCTGTACCAGGTCAAGCAGCGCTTTATCTCTCGTCAGCCCGTCGACTTCTTGCGCCAGGTAGAGCTTATCCACACATGAGAGAGAGCTTTGCGACCGCTCGGATTTGGCCAAGCGCTCTTCCCACAAGAAGAACAGTAATAGAAAAGAATGTATTTAGGAATATTTACAGTCAGTTTACAGAATGACATGTATTGATATACATCCTGTGCTTTTTAAAAAAAACAGAAATGACTATAACTGCTCACATAGTAAGTGATGTAAAGATACAAAAATGATTTAATACAATAGCAAATTTCTACAGACTTTTGGGGAAATTGTACAGGGGGAAATATCCTAATAAGTTAGGAAAATCCTTGGGTGCTATTTTAAGGCAGCTTTTACCCCTTTTTGTGTTGGTAGAGAGGGTGTATGTTTTGACTCGTATCAGTTGTTTAGAAAATATCTTTAATCTTTCATCTGTATCGCATTCTCAAATATGTTACTTAGTCTGAATTAAGTGAATCTTATTTCAGCGGAATACATTATGCTTTGATGTATTGCATTGCATATAAGCTAATACAGTGAAATGTGATGCATAAGAAATTAGAAAACATATCTCCTACTTCTAAATTTTCATCCATAAATATCCCTGAAGCATGTCCTTATCTTAGTGGGGATTGTTGGTTGATATTTATCGTATTTAAATGCAGGTAGTTGAGTAATTGTTGCCAATCAAAATTCTAGTTCACTACGACTTAAGTGTTTTGTATAGAGTCCTCCTATAAATAATACTTTAACTTGAATTTAATGAATCCAGACATAGAATATAAGAGGCAAGGATGTCTTATAGTGATATCATTTTATTGGACAAACAGTTGAAATCCTTGCCTCTTGCATAATTTTGGACCATCATAGCTACAACATGACTCTTACACTACTGTAGAAAAGAGTGACAGACAGATGGACATGGGACTGGATTTAAGCATCACACAGAAACTTTATCAACTTAATGGGGAAGGTTTATATCTGGAAACCATATCTCTCATACTGGTGTTTAAGAGGTTCCGTAACCAGATTACAAGGTCCAAATCGGTTAACTAATGTCTCAGGTTAGACTTTCAGTCTACCCCTAAAACTAAGTTTCTCTTTCCCCTCATCTGCACACCCTGGGAGATGTAGAGGGTATGAAGTCGTCTGTAAAGACTTCAGGCATCATCATCTTTTCCTTTTCATGGACTCCTTGACTTCAGGAAGATTGCCTTTTTAGCTTTTATCCATCCTGGACACTAGCAGCAGGGTGTCATGAATAAAACATTCCTTCATGACCTCCCTACATTAACATAACTATTCTTTTTCCTTTTTAAAACTAGACTAGGCCTTCACAATGCTATGAGGAAGTTGACCCCCACCTCCCTGATCCCTGACAATTTGGGTCAAAAGGTAAAAATTCCCTCCTAGTCCCCCAAAACAAGCCATTGATCAGACTTGCAGAATGTTGGAAACACAACTCAGTATGGTGCAGGAAATGTAGTTGAGATACCAATAGACTGCTTTAAATTGAGGTGGTGGCCAAGCATCTCCTATACCCCTGGTTGGCCAATGGACAATAGAAAAGCCTATTTTCATGTATGCCTGCAAGGAAGGGGGTTCCACCCCCCCCCCCCAATCCCAATTTCTGAGAAATGCTGCATCTAAAGAGATGACTAAAGACTCTTAGTTTGATTCTTGCTTGCTTTGAATCTTATGTAGTTCTTTATCCCGGTGCAAAGAGAATGTGACATGCAATCTTTCAATTTCGAAGAAGTAATTAAGAAATACTTAAATGGAATTGAAATGCCATATGAGATATCCAGAAGCTATTTGTACAGTGTGCTGAAACTGGAGGAATACCTTGGCATAAGCCTTGATATTACATTCATTAATTTAGCTTTAGTGTTGTTTTTAAAATGACATGTCACTGCTGCTAATGACCAATGGTCTTCACATTAAAAGTTCATCCCACAAATATGATAATTTGTTTTTCTTAGTTGATTCTAGCAATAAATATTATATGCAGAAAGGGAGATAACTTGTGGGTATAATAGTCATATACAGGATGGTAACTTTCCTGAGAGGAACAGTAAAATCAGAAAGTTAGGGTGCTAAAGGAGGATATAATAGTTCAAATAGCTTTCTACATAGCAATGCTAGAAAACTATAGTGTAATTAAGGGTGAGTGATAGGGGAACAGCTCTGGGTGCTCATAGCAAGGGAGTGCAAGAATTGACATTAACACTGCTGCTGACGCTACTGCTGCTCTCCTGGACTTTGCTGTCACCCAGAGCACAGAAACTGCTTGTTATTCCTCTGCTAGAAAACAGAAAAGAGAAAGTCAGGCAAAGTCAGTGTGCATTTTCCTTGCCTGTTCTCTTTTTTTCTAGTTTACCCAAGTGTGAAAGCCTCTGTTGAAGGACAAACTTCTCTGCAAGTCACAAGAAGTAGAAATGAAGGTTAGTGACAGTGGACTTGGTGGGGAAATCATTGGAGGATAGCAGCACAAACTCCAGGGGACTTCTCATAAAAACTCCTTGCAATCAGTGGTCCTTAAAAGCCTTCACAACTTTACAGTTCTGAAGTACCAGCTTCTTTGACAAGGGGGCCAAACTCACTCTCCTTCACCCTCTCCCACAGACAAATGAAGAGGAAATCCCAGCAGTAAACATTTCTGGCTTTACAGGATATGAAGGAATGACTAACAACATGGAGTACAGAGCATGGTGATAAGTGCAGTTTCTTACTCAAATGAACACACACAAATGCTGTAAAAGCATCACTAACATGGTCCTCTCTTCTTGTTGAGGAACAGCCTCAAGAAACTTCTGATCAAGTAATCTTTTCTATCCTGTGCATCTTGTTATGAAAGTATGGCTTGTTATAAAAGTGTCTCTGTCATCTAGAGTTGTGAAACAGAACCACAAGGACCTGAATAATGGATGTCTTTTTTCCCCAGTAAAAATAGATGATTTACTAGCATACTACTTATGAAACTATAGGCCAGTCAGTCTTACCTCGATCCTGGGCAAGCTGTTCGAGAAAATTATTCTGGCACACATCCAGGAGGGGCCAGCAGGGAAATGCATGCTCAGGGGAAACCAGCACGGGTTCATCAGCGGCAGGTCATGTCAGACCAACCTGGTGGCCTTCTACGATCAGGTCACTAAATCATTGGATGCAGGGGTAGCAGTGGATATAGTCTTCCTGGACTTCCGGAAGGCTTTCGACACTGTCTCTCACCCCGTTCTCATTAGGAAACTGGGGGACTGTGGCGTAGACACCCACACAGTCCAATGGGTCGCCAACTGGCTAGAGAGCCGCACCCAGAGGGTGGTAGTGGATGGGTCCTTCTCGGCCTGGAAGGACGTGGGCAGTGGGGTCTCGCAGAACTCGGTCCTCGGGCCCGCCCTGTTCAACATCTTCATCAGTGATTTGGATGAGGGGGTGCAAAGCACCCTGTTCAAATTTGCTGATGATACCAAGATGTGGGGGGGATGTGGGCACAATAGAAGGGAGCAACAGGCTACAGTCAGACCTTGACAGGTTACAAGGATGGGCGGAGGAGAACAGGATGGGGTTCAACATAGACAAGTGCAAGGTGATGCACCTGGGGAGGAACAACCGGCACCATACCTACAGGCTGGGGAACTCCCCTCTTGTCAGCACGGAGGTGGAAAAGGATCTTGGAGTCATTATTGACTCCAAGATGAACATGGCTCGGCAGTGTGGGGAGGCGGCTAGGAAGGCCAGCTGTACCTTGTCGTGCATCCACAGATGCATTTCAAGCAGGACCAAGGAGGTGATCCTCCCCCTCTATGCGGCACTGGTCAGGCCGCAGCTGGAGTACTGTGTCCAGTTCTGGGAGCCGCACTTTAAGAGGGATGTGGACAGCATCGAGAGGGTCCAGAGGAGGGCCACTCGCATGATCAAGGGACAGCAGGGCAGGTCCTATGAGGAAAGGTTACGGGACCTGAACCTGTTCAGCCTCCAGAAGAGAAGGCTGAGGGGGGATCTTGTGGCCTGCTATAAACTAGTCAGGGGGGATCAACAGGCACTGGGGGAGTCCCTGTTTCCCCGAGCGCCGCCAGGAGTGACCAGGAATAACGGTCACAAGCTGGCGGAGGGAAGGTTTAAGTTGGACATCAGGAGGTGCTACTTCACGGTCAGGGTGGCTAGGGTCTGGAACCAGCTTCCAAGTGAGGTGGTGCAGGTTCCCACCCTGGGGGTTTTTAAGAGGAGGTTAGATGACCATCTTGCTGGGGTCGTTTGACCCCCAGTACTCTTTCCTGCCATGGCAGGGAGTCGGACCTGATGATCTGCCCAGGTCCCTTCCGACCCTAGAAACTATGAAACTATGAAATATAAATAGACTAAGAAATTGGCATGACATTTGGGGCATTTCATGTTTAATATTATGTACTCTAATCATGCATTTCTAATATACTATTTTTATCTCATCCTGGTATAGCATAGTAACAAATAAAACCAATTCATTCAGAAACAGAACCTATTTAACTGGAAAAAGCAAGGCAGAGAGAGAAGGCAATAACACAGAGTAGGTCATTTGCCAGAAGTTGTGTGGATTTCTCAGATGATGCAGCTATGTCTCATCCAGCCTATCCTCTCCTTTTCTTCATCTCCAGAATCCCTGTATTACCAAATGGGCTCTGCAAAGAGTTTCAGGGGAAAAGGGATACTGTTCTACATAATCCTTTCACTTTTTGGGGGAGTTTTGCAGTCATACCCCCCCATTATCAAACCACTCTATGCCATGTATCACAGGCATTAAGGAGTAAATTATATATTTGTTTGTTGAATTTAAACTTTTATATTCAGCTCATTAGAATTCAGGACTGGAAGGATCCTTCTGGGTCATTAGTTCAGTCTCCTGTTATCTTGGGCAACCAGATCATATAAGGTGCCTGTACATGAGCACAGAGGTTGTAATTACAGCGTTTCTGAGCAGACTCAATTAATCCAATCTGTTGGAGTGTGGTAATTACTGCGCTCCAGCAGCCTCCCACATCTAGTGTATCAGTGTCCCCATGCTTCTAAGTGGCAGTAGGGGCGCTTGAACTAAAACTTATTGAATGAGCTTTAATTCAAGTGCCCTTGCTGCCATTTTGAAGCATGGGGATACTGATGCATGAGATGCTGTGGTGCTTTAATTACAGTGGCTCTCGGAGCCACTCTAATTAAAGCACTGCTCCTCCCCCCCTCTCAGAGCAGGTGTGAAAGTGCCCACAATGCTGTTCATGAACTCTATAGCAGATGCGTGCTGCTATGAGCTGGCACTTTCCTAACTAAAGCAGACCTCTTGTCTGTTTGTCATGTAGCAGCAGTGAATAAATATCCCTGTTGCTTAAAGGAACTCAGAGCCACTTTAATCTTGCTTTCCTGTGTGTGATGTTATTGTTAGGCTTGGCAGAATTCCATTTTTAATAATTTTCATGGCTAAAATCAGTGTTTATTTTTAAGCATTTCTCTCTCTTTTTTTTTTTTTTTTTTTTATTGACTTCAATGTTCAGGATTGCATGGAATTAGGGGCATGGGGGGCAGACAATTTAGTAATGACAGTATACAGTTAAAAGCTTTATAAAATCACGTTAAAATATAAAAAGTAAATATCCATAAAACATACCTGATCAAGCAGAGGCCAGGCTGGACTCGCTGGGAGTTTGGCACCCAATCCCCAGCTGGGACTTGGGCAGAGTGAGTGGCCAGAGGCATTGGGCTCCCAGCACAGCCCTATCAGCATGGCCCCCAGCTCCTGTAGCAACTGCCCAAGCTGTGTGGATGGCCCAGCTGGGGCTCCCCCAATCTTGCCTGCAGCAGTCTCTCTATGTGTATGCATGCACACACATACATGACACCCTCTACCCTGGATTTCCTTATCTCTGTCCTCAATTTTTTTATATCCCCTTTCTATAAATTTACATGATTACTGACATAAATATTTTTTCTATTGGTCTGTGTGTCAGGAGAAATCGATGTTTATTGATTAAAAATTGAATCCTGCCAAGCCTAGTTATTGTATGCATTCTGGTGCATATAGTATCTCCTATATACGTTCTAATGTAATATCACTGAAATGTGCTGGCCACAACCAGCATATTATTATGATCATTAGTATCATAATAGCTAGGGTCGGAAGGGACCTAAACAGATCATCAAGCCCGACCCCCTGCCTTGGGCAGGAACGGATGCTGGGGTCATATGACCCCAGTCGGGTGTCTATCCAGCCTCATCTTAAAGACCCCCAAGGTAGGAGCGAGCACCACTTCCCTTGGAAGTTGATTCCAGCTCCTAGCTGCCTTAGCCATAAAGTAATGCCTCCTGATGTTTAGCCTGAACCTGCTCTCTATCAACTTGTGACTGTTATTCCTAGTTACCCCATGTGGTGCTCAGGAGAACAGGGCATTTCCTATTCCCTGCTGATCCTTCCTGGTGAATTTGTAGATGGCCACCAGATCCCCACTCAGTCTTCTCTTGTGAAGGCTGAATAGGTTCAGACCCTATAGTCTCTCCTCTTATGGCCTGCCCTGCTGCCCCTGACCATGCGAGTGGCCATCCTCTGGAACCTCTCAATGCTAGAGACATGTCTTTTGAAGTGCGGTGCCCAAAACTGGACGCAGTACTCTAACTGTGGCCTGACCAATGCTGCATAGAGGGGGAGGATCATCTCTCTGGACCTGCTTGTGATGCAACTCGCCCTCAGAATAGCCAGTTCAAACCCAGACATAGTAGGGCTTGCAGAAACATGGTGGGATTCATCCCACAACTGGGCAGTTATCATTAGGGGCTATAGGCTCTACAGGCGGGATAGAGAAGGCAGGAAGGGAGCGGGTGTGGCGTTCTTGTCAAAGAGCAATGCACATCCTCTGCCAGCAAAATGGGGTCAGAGGAGGGGCAAGCTGAAGTGCTCTGGGTCAAGATACAAGGGGGTCGTGGGGAGAGGGATTTAATGGTGGGGCTCTACTACAGACCTCCCAACCAAGAGGAGGACCTGGACTGGGCATTTTTGGGCCAGCTTGCAGAGACACTTAAGGCAAGGGATGTAGTTGTCATGGGTGATCTAAATTACCCAGACATCTGCTGGGACGAGCAGTCAGCCAGGTTGGACCATTCCAGGAGGTTCTTGGCTGAGATACAGGACCTCCACTTAACCCAGGAGGTGCATGGTCCCACCAGAGGAAATGCCCTGTTGAACCTGGTCCTGGCCACAGGCAATGATCTGGTAAGGGGGCTCCAGGTCCTTGACCACCTGGGTGATA